CCCTCATGCGTACAGAAGTGGGTCATTGCGTCTGGGAGTTGCTCGCCCATTTTTTTCTCATGCATTTCGTATTCATGTGGTGGTAATATTAATTTTTTTGTGAAGAGTTAGCGCGGGAATAACAAGAATGGAAACAAGCTGAACTTTAGGGTTTTCTTTCTTTCTTTCTTTCTTTTACAGCTTTGTTCGCATGCAAAAGAAATGCAAAGCTGCTTTGACGTGGTTCACTTTTTCAAGCCCTTGTTGAGGTAAGCGGTTTAATATTCATGGATGTTCGGATCCCCCTCCACCCCCACTCCGTATTGTGGCGACGTTTAGATGAGTATATATGGGCCCTTTTCTTCTCCATATAGTCGCAATCCTCTGTGTTTTTTCCTCTCCTGCCTATTTTTCGGGCTTGATGGACTGGGGCTAAATGGGCAGTTTTTCCTTCTTTTCCAGCAGAGAGGACATCTTTATTCCATCCCTGGCTCACAGGTTTCCTATTCAGCTCCCCTCCAAGTAATGTCAGGGCCCTGAAAAGTGCTGCAAATCAATCTTTCATGGTGTTTTGAGGGCAATTTGACATCCATGCACTCCTCTTTTCAGTCCAACAACTACAAGGGGATTGTCCGAAAAAAAGAAAAAAAAAGAAAAGTGGGCAACGTTGAGCTCTCTCTCTCCCTCTTTCTCTCTGGACGAATATGGACTATGGCGATGTAATGGCACAGAAGATATGGCAAGTAAATACAATAGCGGAGAGTTTTGTTGAGCTGCAGAGATAGTGAAAAGGCAAGGTGAGTGACAGGGCACGAAAAAAGATTACCGTGTACAGCTGCTTTTTATGAGCGGGCCCCTCCCACGTTTGTCTCCTTTTTCCCAGATGAAATTTCTCTGCTCTTTCAATGGGATTCTTTCTCATCTAGATTGATTTACATTTATAGCATTCATCGCACAAATCCGAGGTAAATGGCAGAGACGGGGGGGTGGGCCGCTTCTTTATTAAAGAGGAATTAAATGAATTGAATTGGGGTAACGCATGGATTTGATTTGCTTATTTATGCATTAACCTGTGGCATTATGCGGAGCTGGTAAAGCCGCGGGCATGTCAGCAATGGCAAATCATCCCGCTTAGCCGTTCCATTGTAAAACAATTTAAGCCATTATTCTGTCCATTTAAAGCTTATCAATTTAATGTGGATGATTGACAATTATTGCACAAAGAATGTGGTAATTGATGGATTTCAAAGAGCTGCTGGGAAACCTATCAAAGGCGAGCGTTTGTTTGTGGGTAAATAGCGGAATTTTACGCGAATCGGAGGGGGTGAGAATGGAGAGATACACCCCTGAAGAAAAACAGGAGAAAACACATGATTGGCTTTACACATTAAAATGTCAGAGAATAAATTGAAAATGACTCAATATTAAAAGATGCTTTCAAGAATTTGCTTGGAAAAAAAATTTCCGTTATTGTTGCTCGTTAGAAATAAGAACGTAAATCACTGACACTTTACCCAAACAGCCGCATGAATTTAACTGAGGCCTGCTTTAGCGACACACACACACACACACTGCTGCTGTCCAACCAGCAGGGAGAAAGGAGCGCAGAGCCTCCCGCGGGATCCTCCGCAGTGTCATTAAAAACAGATTAAGGTAGCTGCCACAGTGCGCCGGATCCTGGAGGCCGGCTCATCTGCTGCAAAGGTGAGAGAGGTGCAGCCCCCACCCCACCCCACCCCCCCAAGAGCCTCTTTTTCTTCACCCCTCTCTCCCTCGGTTGCGGGACAGGACAGGGCACCTGCTGGATGTGGAGGTGTTGTGTGTGTGTGTGGAGGCCCATCTTTACTTACAAAGCATGGAAACTATTTGAAACATGGTTTGGTTCGTCATGCCCAGCACTGGCTGCGATGTGAAACTGCGAAATTATATCCATCTTCTTTCTCGATCAATCAGCAGAAACTGCAGTAATAATTAAAGTGTCCCGACTTGATTTATCCCCTTAAATCTACTTCACACTTCTAAAGAGAAAATGTACCCACATTTAGTAGCAGCCGCAAAACTGCTAACCTGTGGATAAAAGTCCTACAAATCCAATTTCTCTCATCAGTTTGGAGTACGATTTGAAAATAAACAAATACTCACAACTGTACTTTTACCTTTTAAAAATAATGAGTCGGAGACAAATTGATCGTTTTCTAAAATATTTTCAAATGAAACTGCACCAAATTGCACGCAGACGTAATAAAAACAAGTCGTACCATCAGCTGAGTCGAAGTTGGCCTTTCCAATCAGTAATGTTCTTTTATACAAACAAGACCTGGACACAGAGCAGGGGGAAGAGGATAAAACAACCACTGCTGCCATTTCCCCCCATCTAACAGTGTTAAAAATATCCAATAATTCTGAAATGCGAAGGCTTTTTCATGCTGAGTAGACTATAATTACCTTATATTTAAAATGTTATTCTGGAACGATATATCCAATTATTTCTACATTGCTATTTTACCTCAAATATAGCTGA